GTAATTTTCCTTTATGAGTAATTTATTTGTAAGGTTTCTTTATCAAAATTATCATTAAGAACTTTGAAATTCTACTTACTTTTACATATTATGGAAAAATATGAAGCAAATAAATTGAAATCATCTTAGTTCTTATGCTATGTAGAGGAATAGTTCTATAACATTTCTAGTTTTTCTATTAAAATTGTTCTTTTTAATTATTTTATTTGTGCTGCAGCTAATTTAGTATCTTCTTAGGAAAGTATGTGTTTTATCAATTTTTGCAAGAGTTGATCTCAATTTATATTTTCTTTTTCACTTTTGACATGTATGACCAGCAGGGGGAGCTGTGGGACTGCCCTATGGTCCCTACACAGCTGCAGAGTGAGGATTATTCACTCAGAGGATTTGGGCCTGGGGATGGGACCCTGTGCTCACATGGGACTCAGCAGCTGTGTACACTCTGGCCTGGCAGAGTCCCCTGAGCATGGACCTTTGTGTGGTCTCAGCAGGTGTTTCCTCCCAGGACTCTCTCAGAGAGTAAAACCAACATCCATCCTCCTCAGTCTGGCTCTGAGCTGAGCTCCAGCCCCAGGGCTCAGGGAGGGGCTGGGCAGTCACTGGATCGACACACATTTGCATGCACAGCCCCTCCTCTGGCGGAGGGTGGAGAAGAAAAGGAGGCTTGGGGCAGCCCAGCCCCACTGTGGGCTCAGGGGCTGCGTGCACCATGGCCTGGACCCCCGTCCTCCTCGTGCTCCTCTCTCAGTGCACAGGTGGGGACAGGCCTCAGGACCAGACATCGGTTCGAATTTCATTCCCTTCAGGCTCAGTCTCCCCAGAAACTTTATCTTGGTCCCTAACCCGACCCTAACAATTGTCTGTGTTTGCAGGTTCCCTCTCCCAGCCTGTGCTGACTCAGCTGCCCTCCCTCTCTGCATCTCCGGGAGCATCAGCCAGACTCACCTGCACCCTGAGCAGTGGATTCAGTGTTGGTGGATACCGGATATACTGGTACCAGCAGAAGCCAGGGAGCCCTCCCCGGTATCTCCTGTGGTTTAAATCAGACTCCGAGAAGCACCAGGGCTCCGGGGTCCCCAGTCGCTTCTCTGGATCCAAAGATGCCTCGGCCAATGCAGGGCTTCTCCTCATCTCTGGGCTCCAGCCTGAGGACGAGGTGGACTATTACTGTGCTACATGGCATGGCAGTGGGAGCAGCTTCGGTTACTCACAGTGACTCAGATGATGAGGAAGTGAG